CTCATGCTTCAAAGCATACCCCTTCCATAGTCCCCATCTCTTCACTGGTTTTAACATTTCCCTAAAGCCAGAGTTACCCTCATGCTCCATACCTGAAACCAGTCACAAATGTCTCCTCAGTACGACGGATGACTTGGCTCCCACTATGGCTCTGAGCTGAACTTCACTGCCTTGGATGAGATCCCTTCTCCTGCTACAGCCCCAATCAGCCCAGCTTTAACCTCTAGAGATCCTCCATGCAGACATCCTCCCTCCTTCACCATGTAACTGTTACTGAGAAAAATGGCATAATTCATGGTGAAATTACCTTTCTGGCTTTGGAGCTTTCTAGGATTAATAAAAAGACTCATTGACTTCATCAAGTTCCTAATGAATTGCTGTTTTGTATATCACAGTACTTAAACACAACAGAGCACCAGCAACTATCAAAACCCCTTTATAGCAACTCTTGAAAAGCAGCTGAGAAAGTTACATTACAGTCTAAACCAACAGGAATATTACCTTAGGTCACACTCACCTCCCATCCCAAGTAGTCACATTTGGTCACCTGATTTAGCATCAACTCCCCCATGCTTATACTTATCCATCTGTTTAATGGACAGGCTCCAACAATACAAATTACCTTCACCTGATTCTATTAAACCCATAGACCTGCACACTCCACTGGACAGGGGTTTATCCCCTAAAGGGACTCCGCAAATCAGATTCCTGCAGTTCACCCCTATCTCCACATTTACCCAAAAAACAGTGCTGTGATGAAGAATAGCAACTACCAGCACGTGTGAGATGTGGCAGAAGGAAGGGAAGCAGCTTGCAAAGATTGTGGCCACCCTGGCAGCACCTACTTCTATTAGGTGGAGATTTAAAGTCAGCCAGGTCTTGTGTCATCTTTCATCAGTCTTCTTGGCTTTCCCTCTCTGTGAGTAAATGATGAATCTGACCTTCTTTGTTTGAGTTCTTGCGATGAAGCACTGTTTGCATAAGGCTCTTTTTTATTTATTTTTTTCCTGTGGCTTGTTGACTTTTATAAGACATTCATAAATTTGTTCTGAGTGCCAGCGAGATGCTTAATGGTGCTAAAGGGAAGGTATTAAGGATAGTCGACTCATGTTAGAACAAGCCACTTGAAAGTAGCTATAAATATTTGTCTGGATTTAATTTTGCTAACAAACAGCTTCTTTTCTTGCCTCCATCTCCCCCCCCACCCTGACTACCTCCCTCAAAGAGTTGATTTCATAAACAACAGACGAATTTTCACATTAATATGAAAGTGCATGTCTGGGTTTGGTTTTTTTAATAAAAATTTTCCTATTGGGGACATTTGAGTCCTTGTATTCTGTCTGCATGAAATCGTCTCCCTTTTCAGGAAAACCTTGGCAGCTTAAGACCTCCAGGGTGAGCTCATGTTCTTTTGCGCTCCCTCAAACTCATCTCTGCTCTTTCATTGCTCTGGAAATTAGTTTAGGCTAGACTTAGGGACTACAGTGTCCTAGAATGAAGCCAGTAGCTACACATTACTCCTCAATTTGCTCATAGGCACACTGGAGGTTTTTGGATTCCTGCAGGACTGTAGCCACTGGCCACATAATTTGGAAACTCCACCCTCTGGTCCTATTGCTCTAAGGTCACATTGACACAGACAGACACAGAATATTCTGTTCTTATTATCTTCAGTACCGAAGTCCCCCTCATTGGGAACTATGACTGGTAATTGGGGGCTACCACTCATGTGCGGTCACCCTCCAGGCAGGAGAGGCAGCTTTTTGCACAAAGCTGCTTCCTGGAATCACAGGCATCAATGATGAGGACTTGTCTCTGCCTCTGGACAAAGAGAGCCCTTTCCTTCCCAGAACAGTCTCCACATGCATTTCAGCCCTGAAAGACCCAAAACTGTGCTGGGATGCCGTAGTCTGAAAACCTCCAAATTGCTGCTGCTGGGATAGCTGAGCAGGGAGTTCAGTGTTCAGCCAGCATGAGGGAAGGACAAGGGGGTGCCCAGAGGAGCCAGGTGGAGAGGAAAGAAAGCCCCCATCTTAGAACAGGAATTAGGGGACCAAAAAGAGTGAGAGAGCAGGGTTTAGGACAGTCTTTTTGTTTAACTGTGTGGCACCATTGAGTTGTCAATGCTTTTATATATACATATACACACATATATATATATTTCATTTTCATGGTACTTTCACCAGCTATAGCTCATTACAGCAGTCTAGAAAGTACCAGCAAGGAAATTATGAACACTGTCATCTCAGACCACTCTCGTAACCGTCAGGATGACTTTTACCCCAGGAAAGACTGTCAGCTTTGCTCCAAGCTAGCAAACAGACTAACATTTTCAGCTTAAAGTCACTTCTAAAAATACACAAAACTAACACCTCCCAGAGAACTTCCCCAGACAGCAGGGGAAGCACAGGGGAAAAATAAACTTTCTAATACAGATTTCTAAACTGCTTCTATTGTTTTTTTCTGGATACTTTTGGATTTTCTGGATACGTGCACAGCTACATCCCAGTACCCTCCACTATAACACATCGTTATGTCACAAACCCCATGCCTCTAGCATGGTAATGACAAAGACCTGACAGATGGTCCAGATCAACAGAGATAAGAGTAAACTACCACATAGATAAGGCACCTGCCCAGGGGAAGGATGCAGCTACCTGCCAACATGCACCTCACTGCTTCTGTTGCTCTCCCTCCTCACTTTTTAGTGGGAAATGCATGTACATCACTTAACCAGGTTTTCCAGTACATGCAAATGCTAATTGCCATGGTCTGAAACATTCTGTACCCCACTAGAATTAAATGGCAAAACAGCAGTTCTGATGATATCATGGTGAATGATTTATCTGGTGATATACTACATTCCTGCAGTGTTCTTAAGCAATAAGGCACGCTGGGGAGAACACTTAAATGATTAATTTGCCTCTAGTGCGGTCTACAGTCAAAGGTTAATGACCTTGATCACCCCAGAAGTTCAATTAATGCCTTGAAATGGTCTACCTAGAAGGCCTGACAGCTATTATTAAATGGAACATTAACGTAAGGAACACCATTTCATTCCTTTGCAAGGCTTTGTAAACAAGTACTTTACTTCTCACATCCAAAGCACTCTAGCCACGTTTCTAAGGTAGCAAGCACCTGAAGAACTATTTGCTGAGAGATGGGCCCCAACTGCATTATGGATGCACACTTCCACCACCACCACAAGTCCAGACTGTTTATAGAACAGTGTCTGGGTCAAAAGACTTAGAAGAAGCTGTGGTTTCTGGTGCTATCAGGATACAGGCAACTTGCAGTTATGTACCACCTCCTCTATTTCTTCAGCATCCACTCCCACCTAAATGCCCAAAAACCTGAAAAAAAGCAGAAGTGAAGAACATATCTTTCAGAATCCCACAGGGGAAGGCAGCAGAGTGCTGACACTCCTTGAAGTAACCTGCCAACTTCAGCATTACTAATGACTACAGGGACAGACCTGTCCCATCCACCACAAAGATGTCACATGCACTCTTTGCTCTGCTGCATCCTTCTTGCAGTGTTTTTGAAGGGAAGAAACATACACACTGGCAAGAACCAAGGACTAGTTTGGCACAATTTATTAAAAACAAATTCTCTGTAGAAAGACTATCTTATAAATCCACCTCAGCAACCCATCAATACTTCCAGCTGATGCCAACAACCGTCACATTCTTTCAGACCCTGAGAGGAGAGCAGAAAGAAGCAGCTACCTTATACAGGGGCCAGAAGAAGCCCTCTTAAGACATGGCATTAGTAAGAATGAAGGTAGGAAGAAACCTCCAAAGACAGTGACTTGCACAGGAACCACCCACCCCCTCAGTACCCTTGAAGTCATACACACATGGCTCTGCCTCTAATTGCCCAGTCCTAGCTCCTTCCTCTGCTGCCAGGCCCTTTCTCTACAGGGTATCCATCCATTTTAGTTCATTTAAAGACCTTCTCCTACAACACCTTCTTGGCCAGGACCAAGCCAGCTGTGATGCCACAAGACAGGAGTATGCTACAAGACAGCCAGCCCGGGTTTGCTTTCCTGAGGCTGCCCAACCCCGCTATAAAACTCCCTGCTAAGACAAACTGGATTAAGCTCAGATCAGGTTATTTGAGACCTGGGCTGCAGGGACTTTTCACTGTAGCCTTTCTTCAGTAAAAAGAACTCCACAGTCTCAGCATTACAACAAGAGAAGTGAGAAAGGATAAAGACTGAAGCCATGAAGAGAGAACTGAACTCCTAGGGAGAGAAGAACAATGAGAGATAAGATGCAAGGTAAATAAAAAGGCACGAAGGCTTACTTGTAACTTCAGAGAAAGTGGAGGGCAAGGGGTCAAACTTTACAGTAATTAACCTTGCAGACTTTCAGTGTTTGCTGATGCAACCGCCTAAATGACTACAGCATGGGCAGTCAGGTCTGGCCCATCTTCATCTTGAGAACTAAGGATGAAGAAGGTGACAAAGAAGTGACAGCTCCACCGTCAGATCCCAGGCAGTTTGCTGTGCTACAGGTCTGACCTGAAAATGGGAGTTTGCTCTGGAAACTCCCGACAGTGTCATTTTAACTCTGTAAGAAGCAGCATTGTGAAAGCGTGTACCTGCTCCTTGATCCACCAAAGCATAGACATACAAGCTAGCCTTTAAATACAGAAGCCTCTGTTAAGCAAGCACAACTGTTCACAATATGAATTTATTAAGCATTTACTTACACACTTCCCTGGATCAAGAAACGTATTGTCATGGGTGTCCTCTAGCTGCACAATTAATTGAAGCAGTACCTGATTCTGTCAATACTATTGACAGAATGATAAAAATCACACAGTGAGTAACAGAAATGTAAGACTCATACATAAAATGAAATGAGTATCCACATCTTATTTTTTTATATAGCTCACACACAGAAAAATGAGTAGTTTCTATCACTATCCTCAATGGCTAATAGAAAAATAGCAAGCCTGGTTTGGGTGTTCTGGCAAGTAGAAATATAGCATCATTGCCATTTAATGCATTTGTTTGTTGGCTTAGAAAGAGACTTCAAAATCTTGGTGTATTTACACTGAAAAAGCATCATAGCAAAAGGTGCTTTATTCAAACACTGAGCAGCTAGCTTTATTCTGATAAAGACAACCAATTTCCATATCACAAGTCTGTCTTCCTTGCTGCATTCCTGGAGAGCAGGCTATCCCCAAAAACACTGGGAGATCCATTGAGGTCTTCTGCATACAGCCTACAGAGAGATGATTTTTCTTCATTGTTGGTGCATTGCAATCATATATAGCTATAGTTACTGCAAAACAAGATAACTGTTATACAGTTACCAGGAAGACCTGCTGCCGCTGAACACCCCCATGAACAAAACTGTGGGGACGCCTCTTTTTCAAGCTTCTGTCTTGAAGTTTTGCACACCTTTTTCCTCCCACTACAGGATTTAAATACAAATTCTGCAGGATGTGGGGAAGGCAAGGCCAGCTCTGCCCAGTCCCTAGCACACAACTTATTAATAATCACAGCAGAGGAAGAACATAGCTGCATTCCCATTCTCTCAGTATAATAGATCAGAGATTGAGAACTCCTGCCTCCTGAAAGGTCTCTTTTGCTTCACAGTCCAGTTCATATTTGTTTAAGCCTGAGGCAAGCAAACAAGACACAAGCTCCCAGGAATCCATAACCACCCTGATGCTTCTGGGTTGCAAATCATCTCCATTGCCATCTGTTTTCAGTCACTCCAAAATGAGTTCTGAAGAGTCAATTGTTTTCTTCTAGGAAAAATAAACATGCAAGCTGCTATTCTCCTGATTTCCAGCAATTTTCTGCTGTGGGTAAATGTAGCTTCAGATTTTAGAACCAAGTCTCATTCTCATCCAAAGAATTTTGCAATATAATTACCTCATTTTTACTGACTTGGATAACTGCTTTGGATAAAAAAGAAGAAAGGGTGTAAAGTCTGCAAGACTAATTCCTCCTCCTGACCCTTTGTTATAAAACCTTGGAACAATTGATAGTGATTAATCTCAGTTGATATTTCTTTGGTTCCCTATTTGTTGATTTAAAAGCATTTTATGACTGATTGTTTTCAGTTGCTTGGAGAGCTGTCAGATCTGTACTGTGGTTTGATTTGGTTTCCAGGGAGGAAAATTATTATTTTTCTTATTTTTACAGCTCTAACACATAGTAGCTGATGGAGGTGGCCCTTCAAAAACCATACTGTGAAGCCAAAGCTACCTCCAGACTGAGAGAAGATTGCCTAGAGATTCTGCAGGCAGAAGCAAGATATGGAAGGCAATAAGACAGGACTTTTTTTTTTGGTCAGGGGGTTGTGTTTTGTTGCCTGGGGGGGTTTATTTTATTACTAGTTTTTAACATGCCCAGTTTATACATTGAGGACACACAGTCTCAAATACAGTAGCTAAATCCATCCCTAGGTGTAACATCAGGAATGTGGCTTTCCAGGAATGATGTCAGCCTTTGGAAGGAACAGTACTGTCAGAGCCGGTTGGGGGGCTGAATTTTCTGCTTGTTTAGGGCTGGAGTGCTCCAGCCCAAGCAGTGCCCCAGTCTATGAGTGCTTGGGAAAGGCTGTGCTCAGTTGAAGGGGTGTGAAACAGGGTTCAAGACTCCAGACCACAAGACAAGGACAAAATGAAACATAAAGCCCTTCTTCCTTGAGTTCTGCTAGCTCTTTTAACACTGAACTGCTCAATATCAATCGGCTTCACCTTCCATCTTCAACCTCCTGACTGTCTCTAACACTGACCTACACCCTTTGACTCTGAACCTTCCTTACCCTCAATTTTAGCCTGTTATAATCTCTGCATCCTCCTTTTCATCTGCATCTCACAGCTGTGTCCACCCTGTCTTTCCTGACTCCTCACTTTTCTCACGGTCCATCTACAGACATGACCAACACCACGTGTATGTCATCCCTGGCTCACCCTCATGTCTCCTTCCAATTCCAACTAGAACCTCACCAGCCACTATCTCAAACAAGTTCTGAAGAAAGAGCAATCATCTGTCAGAGTTCCTCCTCCAAATTATGCAGAATAAAATTTCATTAAAACAGAAGTCTTTGATATTAGACAGTGCTTTGATTGCTTCCACATATAGTACACCCAAGTTTTCCTTGTTTTCAGAAAGTATATGAAAATCAGGTTTTATCCTGGAACTTCAGGGCTCTGCATGATCACAACTGTTTTTCTCTATAGCCTGCTGTGCTCATTTATACACAGTGTCAGTGCTAACAACTTGACCTAAAGCAGAACTTACATGTGAGCTCATGTGTATGGAGAGAACAACTGGCTGCTATTGACCACAGTTTGTTAAAATTTAAGCACTTTTGCAAAAAAAAAAAAAAAGAATGCTCTTACAGCCATGGTGTCTTACTGGACAGATTATGTGATCTGCTTAACACATGTTCATGTTCATCCCTGTCCAGTTAATAAACACTAGGAGGAGACTCCTTTAGGCCAAGCACTATATGGTAGTGGCTGAGGGACATAGTCAAAGCCCAGGGGCCACATTTGCTTCCTCCTCCTTCTTTGTAATCTGTTGTTTCCACTGCCCAAAGTTAGCAACATGTAAAACCAGTGCTCAGAAATGCAGTAAAATGAGTGATAGGAGTCATTACTTTGCATGCCCCCACTGCCTCCAAAGGAAGGTGTCTCCAGTTCTCTCCACCACTCTCTCCTTCCACTGCTCACATTACTTCTTAGTCTGCTGTCACTGCCCTTCCTAGTTGGCTGCATTACTACCAGTTCTTTTTAAAAAGAACAAGAAAAATCCAACCAAACACTAAAAACCAACCAAACCAAAAACCCACACAACTCTTTCAGTTGCCAGATCATTATTCACCATTTCAGCCTTTCTGAAGCATCTTAAATAATTTAGATGATGCTTCTCTGGCTCTCTTCTTGAGCCTACAGCCCTGCTACTCTTTTCAAGCCTCACACATTTTCTTGGATTTTTACTTTTCCTCTTCTAGTCCCCTCCTCCACAACACATTGCAAGAAGTGGAAGCAAGTCCCATATTATGCCCCAAGAGACCATTTATAACAATGGACTTGAACTTGGTTTTACTAAATCACTCATACCAACATCTTTGCTTCTTTGCTTTCTAACCCGTGGCCATAAATTGTTATGAAAACAGTACAGCAGTTGTATCTTCACATTTATGTCCTCATCAGCTTCTCTAATATACTGCAAATACAGCCTATCAAATACACCAGGCCACATTGAACCATGACTAACACAGGTATAGCACTACAGACTGTGGGTGAAATTTTCCCCACCTTTTCTCACATACAGATCTTTGAACACAATTGAAAGATCTGGAAATTCATTTCCCCTTCATCTCTGGTCATCATCTTAGGATACCATCTTCTGCAGACATGTTTATCACTGCTTCAGCAGTACTGTCTGCTTGCAAGCCTATTGGATGAAGGATGGATTGGAACCATCCTAGAAAAAAAAAAAATCACTTTTGTGTTCACATCTCTTCTGCTTCTCACCATTCTGGTCTCATTCCTGTCATCCGATTCCTCTTTAGCCACACTGCCAGCTCCCATACGTGTTCACATCACACGTTTAAGAAGGTGACAAAGAATGTCAAATGTTTTTATAATCCAACTAAACCTCATGTGCTGTTTCAACCACCAGCTTAGTTCACTGTTCTCCTTTTAAACAAACACAAACAATTCCAGAAGATCTAGCAACAACAGAAACAGGCAGGCAGCAGTGCAGTACATGCTGAAACTCAGCATGGTCCCCCATTAGGAGGAAAATTTCAAGTGCTTTAATCATGACAAACGGCACCACAATGAGTCAGTGGATATGACGGGTCAACCTCTTGGCTGGTGCAGCGCCAACAGCTTCCACAGGGGTTCATCAGGCATGAATTGGCCCCATATGTGAAAACCCGCTATAATTTGTCCAGTTTCTCCCATCCCTGTGGAGCAAAGTCTCCATATGCGAGATCCCACAGAGCTGTCAGCCAATGTCACATTTCAATAACAGCAAAAACAACCAGGGCTGCATAAACCAACAAAGCAATCCCATTGCTCATAAACTGGCAAGTGACCTAGGTTGGCAATGTTTTTGTTGATCACAACCCTTTCTATGGAACAAAACATAGGAACTATCACGCCAGAACAGGCTCAGTGATCCATCTTCTCTTTGCAGAGGCCAACACTGATGCTTTAACAGGAGATTAAAAATGGATATATGAAGCCTGCAAAGCACCTGGGTCAGTTGTGCAATATTTTGCCTTTGACCCAAGGCAGGACTCTGGTGCTCTTATATCAACTGTGCAACATTATACCGTGTTATCCCAGATATGAAAGACTGACATATTTCTTCATGACGGCACCTGACAAAGTCAGAGGATTGTCCTTTCTTCTTTTCTCTTCCTTTTTATTTCAGCTTGATTAATGTAACTGCACATCCTCTTCTTAAGATCAAAGCTCTGACTTATCAATAAACTGGACTTCACAAATTAATTCAACTTTGTGTCAAAAAAGCAACATTGTGATTATTTCTCATGTTAACGTCTGTTCTAACAGAGGAAGAAGCAGGCCCATAGCATTCTCTCTTGAACCTTTCCCTGGTGCAGAGCTCTAATCCCTTTCCTTGCTTTATTAGACATCAAATTAATGTTGGTCAATTCAATCACTTTTTAGATTCTCTCCTCCCAGACTTTGTACACTTTTGTTCTTTTCTACCTTTATTCCACCTTCTCAGGCAAGCTTTATAGCTCAGCTACAAAAATATTTAGCTCTACCTCTACCCTAAACCAAGACTGCATTCTCTGCTCCTACAAACAAACCAATAGAATAGGTGAAAAATACAAATATTAAATTAAAAAATGAGACAATATGTTTTAGCCTGTTACATCTGAACTAAAGTTCAGGGAAGTTGGTTCCAATGGCACTGACAGCTATACAATGAATCATATTCTCTCTAAACCACTGATATTTAAAGTACAAGCTGTGTTCCATTGCTAAAGTGGAGATTATGATCAGGGTACTGTTTTATTTGCCCGTCTTGTTTGGTCACAGAATGATTGATTTTGCAAATATTAAATCAAAAGAAAATACAATCTGTTCTATTATGTCTTCTATTTTTCCCATCTCTGAAACAAGCACTTTTTAAACACTCTGCCAGTGAGCCTCACAGAGCATACCACATGAGGAACTTATAAATCAATTAGAAAAAGAGCATAGACACTTTTGTTTCAAGCTACTAAAACCAAAAGCATTTGGCTCACTCAATTTATATATTATTAATACTTATAGCATCTTCTGACTATAGAGCATGAATTATAGAGGGGAAACACTTGCATCCGTCCCCAAGCTAAATATTTTCTGACGTACCGACTGCCAATTCTGGCAGCCCCGCCACCCTGGTTAGGTGATAAATTAAAGCTCGCACTCCCATTGTGCCCCTTGCCAAGCCAGGCAGAGTTCAGCCAGCCAAAGCCTCGCTTGTCCAAACTGCACCCACCCTCTAGTGGGATGAGGAAAAAGTGCTGCTCCGGGCTGCAGCTCTCTCCTGTGTGTGCTTTATCCTGCAGCACAGGACGGTTTGCCGTAACACTGAAAGAACATTCGCATAGGATAAGCATGCTAAGATTTTTCTTTCTCTGCTTCTTTCTAACCACCCCCCCCTTTCTGCTGGATACACATTAATAAGGCACTTTACCTTTAAAAGATGATTCAAGTCCTGATGAGTTTTACCAAGAAACTTTATGGGCACTTTTCTTTCTAGCTTTGCCTGGCACTCTTCAGAGTCAGTGCCATTTTAACTGCAGTTTCATAGGCGACTAAGCAGTGATTAATCCAGTGAATTAGTGGCTGTAATTATCATACCTTTCTTTTGTTATAAAGAGAAAACAAACACACCAAAAAGCAAAAATTCTTAAAAAAAAAAACTCATTTTCCTCTATGTTTTAAATACAATTGACTGTAAAAGGTAGAAAAATGGAATATTGTTGCTAAACAGTGAGCACTGCAGCTGTGGCACAACCTGTGAAAAAGCAGCAGAGCTGTAAGGAGGTTTTAAACCCTGACCTGGGTCAGCTGTACAAAATAGAACAAGTGAGCAATCCTCAGGGCAAATCTCTCTAGAAAGCAGTTGCAGCAACTGAAGGTCAAATCCTCCGAGGGAGGAGACAGAGCAAGTTCTCTGCAAAGGACAGAGAAGCAGGACCAAGGATGAGAGCAGGACAGCACCCCAGCTAGAGATACAGCCCCCCAGTACCTGGAAGGAGCTGCGCAACTCCCATGGTCACAACCAGGATCAGCCACAATGCAGCGCACCAAACGAGCTCAAAGTAAGGCATAAGGCCAAGAACAGCAGCCCCATAATATCAAGGGCTAAGCCTAAATACAGATCAGAAGCAGCAGGCACAGAACACGAGTGATAACCCAGGTGAAACTACCCAGGGCAATCAGAGTCTGCAAGCTCTGACTGAGCTCTGGCAAACCTCTTCATAAACCCAACTAACGATCCCCAGTGAATTCAGGTGAGTCAAGCTAGGTTCAAAAGAAATAAGTAAAGACTTGCAGCAAAGACACAAAGTGAAAAAACTGCTAAGAAATATATTCTGTTCTTAAATATAAAGATATAACTTGCAAATAAATTTGCTTCCTTTAGCAGTAAACCTTGATGAAAGCTAGAGATGAAGAACTGACTCTACAAACAGTGATACCTTTTACCAGCCTATTTTGTCCACTACAGGTATGACAGCAAGGCAAAGGACAAAAATAAAGCAGCCAAGGCCATTAAAAGCAAGAAGGGGCCTGAAACAACTGAACAGGACTGAAGACAGTATGATCCCTTCCTCTACATGATGCAATCAGCAGCCTGCTAGACAGACTCAGGTCTAGAATGGAAACAGCATGAAGTGAAAGGCGGGAGGAGAGGGTGTGTGGAATAAAAATAAAGCTATCTTTCATAGATCACATGGTCCCACCAGGAACTATGGAAACCTCTGACTTGTCTGGCTCTCTGTCTTTCCCTCCCTATGGGTCTTCTGCAGAAAGCATAGCTTGTGTGCCCAGGAGGTGATGAAATCCCTAATGTTGTATGGCACATGGGGAATTTGGGAGATTGCAAAACAGGATGTTTCTTGGAGGAAATACAGTCTCAGCAAGCAAAAGGTTCAAGTACGGTACATCTCACAATGATGTAAGAGCTTGATTATGCATCTCACTTAAAGCCCAGCTTAGGGTTTTAGTTCTAGTAGAACTAATAGGCAACACCTGCTGCGATGAAAACAATTTCCGTCCCTGAACTCCAGCAGAAGTGTTTATCTTTTGAGTTAGAAATGTTTCTCTAATGTCTGAACAAGACTCCAGGGACAAGAACATATGCCCAGAACTGACGTTTCTGCGCATTAGATAGCTTATAAAAATGAGAATTAGAAAAACCTGGTATCATCAGATGTCTCATCCAATAAAGTCATTAAATGGAAAATACAGAAAGGTTCCTCTAACGTTTCCTCTCTCTGCCACTGTAGTCCTAGTTTCTCTTTGTAGAGCAGAAACAGAGGCTACTGAAAAGCTTGCTGGGGTAAATCCTGAGTAAAAATTCAGGGCTTTTCCAGACCTGTCCCTGGCAAAATTACCATTGACTTTAATGGAAACCTTACCCTCAGCACTTGGCCTCTTGGGTTTAGTTACTAATTTTACTATTAAAGGTTAAACAGAGCTGTTGACAGTACAAACGATTTTCTTACGTAAGCAGTGAGGGTGTCAGATATACAAGATAAAACAATACTGCCAAGTGAAGGCAATACAGGTTATGGGTGAATGTCCTTTCACAGAACATACTGCATCAAATCCCAAGTTTCACCCTCTTCCTCAAGCAAATCTCCCATTTAAGTCAATGTGACCAAGAAGCAGAGTTAACCCTAAGAAAGGACCTTGGGGTTCAGCCATGCTTGCTAAAAGGACTTTAGGAGACTGTAGCTGTTGAAAACACAAAGGCTCTACCTTTACAGAACCAAACCTGTGGGCAGAGAAAGTTCATCAAAAAAAAACATATGCTTTCCTTTACACTGAGAAAGGAAAAGGCACAGATGTCAGGCTTGATCAACAAAACTGAAGGGTGAAGTATTGCTTCATTTTGAACTTAGGGGGACTATCCTAATAATGCTCTAGAATGATAAGACAGACCTGCCCTGCAGATGTAACTGTTGTACAGATGCATTATTTAATAGCCATTAAACACTACAACTGCAAATTAAGCACTTCAGTCATGCAGTTGCACACGCACAATTCTTAACAATAAACCCCTTGATGATAGGAATGTCAGGGAGGGCATGTAGGGCTTTCCTCACATACTTTCTGCTATGATATTCTTTATCTAAGGCTTGGACACAAACCAGAGACTTGTTTTTAATCCTTGACCAAAAATAATGAAATGATGCGATCCTTAAAAATAATAACCATCCAGTCAAGGGCAAACTGTCTTCAGCTCAGTCTAACAACACTTCATTAGTCTGGTGATTAAGCAGCAACTCAAAAGTTAACTGCCTGGAATATCTGTTGTTGTTATGCTGCAATCGTGCTGTCAGAGCCATAGGATAGTTCTGTCTTTAATAACAATGCAACAGACACTGAGGGAAATTCCTGTGGTTGTCTGTCCTATTCAGATACAGTTATCATCCAATAGATCATCAGCTGTACAATAGGCAATGGTGTCGTAAAGTTTTTGACACAGTTAACACATTAACACATTAGACAAATGTCGGATTTGAGCCAATTCTCATCAAAGCCAATGGAAAACTCCAACAGAGTTGTACTGGGCACAGGGATGGTGTCACACGTATTGTCAATCTCATAGGAAACAAGACAATCACAGCAGCTTTCTTCTGACATCAGCGTCTGCCTCTACTTGAGGCTTTGGCAGAGCCTCATGGAGGACTGGCTCTCTTTCTCCTGCTTCTTTTAAACAGCCTGAGAATCACCGAGGTTTGGTTTTTTGGCACAGGGCACTCAAAAGGACATCGTCAAGGTTTACAGAACTGAAATCTAAATCATTTTTCTCTCTCCTTCTCAAATTTCATGTACTTTTTAAGTGTGATTTGGTGTTTACCCAATGCTTTCTTAAAGCAAGAAACCCTTGCTTTACAATCAACCTCACTACCATAAATCACATGCCAGCTCTGACCATGTACTATTGGAGTGTGGTCATATCAGCAAACATGCCAGCATACCTAACCACGGAATGTCTTTTCTGAGCAAATGTTTGGTAGAACTCACATCCTTTGCTGAGTAAGAGTTCATTGGGATTGATCTGCTCAGGAAAGGAACATAGCGGATGAAAACATACTGTTCCTTTACAGTCACAATACTAACACAGCAATAAACACCATCTCAACTGATAAACCAAGCTTAAAACAACAAAATCCTTGTGCAAATCATGCACAGAAATACCAGAACTCCCAGTTTAAAATAAAAAGCTTAAAAATAATGAAAGAGAGAGAAGGACTATAACAATCATTATGGCTCTGCTTCCTGCTGGGTTGAAGATCCAAGTGAATGAGAGGGCAGGAGAACCTGATCCTGGAAATATGCTCACAGAGACACAAGAGTCTGAATCCAAGGCAATTGTCCCCTTTTGTAAAGACAGGGCTTCAACAGCAGAATAAAATCTGTGGTTTTTCCTATTAATATGGAAAGACATTAGCCCAAGGCTGAAGAGGCAGAGACAGAACAGGCAACAGGTGTCAGTGAGGTCTAAATGAAGCCTCTCTCCCCCTTCTTCTCTATTCTTCCCCACCCCTAACACTACCCAAATTTGCTGCTATCCTCGATTTCATGCTTTAGCAGATCTGCAGCAGCCAGCCTCAGCTGCAGGGACAAGGCTGCTGCATGAGCAGCCCAGCAGGGAGCTTGTTGCTCTCCATCTCTCCACCCAAGAGCTTGCAGAGACAGGAGCTGTGCAGGTGGAGCAGCAGTTCAGCAGCTCAGTTTGTGCTCCCTGTTGCTGTGTGTTCCTGTAGATGCTGCACCAGAGTCAGCCCCGCAGCCAGGGAGGCTGTGGCACATCCTCTTCTGCACTGGCCAGTCTTCAGGGGAACATCCAAACAGTGGGTATAGTAAGCAGGAACATGATGCCTTTCTCCAACATACTTTCCTCAGCAGATGTTTGCTGTCTTGTATTTTTTTCTGACAGAGATCTTAGTTTTTGGCCTAATCTAGTGCTTCAACAGCACTTGATTAAGTTGCCCTGAGAACACAACCTGTCCAAGCACTAACTAAAGGAGGCTTCCAGTCTCCTATCTCAGAGCCTTCAAAGGAAAATGCTTGAAAAACATGATAAGCAGGTAAATGACTACTTAGTTGGTGACAAGCCATCAGGATCAGCCGCATAACACCAGCATTCATTACCAAACTTTGCCCAACATAATACTCTTAACTCCAAAATTTGTCGCCACAAAAATAATCCCTTTTAATAAGGTGGAAATGTGTTCTGAGGGACTTCTTTTTATTTCACTGCAAAGAACACAACGTATCTTTTTTTTAGCTGAAATTCACAGAAGGCAGCCTGGTTTACATGGGATAATGGGCAATGAACATTCACTGCAGTGTGCCTGCAAAGGGAAAGAAACTTCTCAGAAAGGACCAAGTTCAAGATTTCAGCCTGCACTTTAAGCAGGGGCTAAGAGTAAAGTTCTGCCTGCTGGAGTTGTGAAATCTCTGTAACCAAGTTTATAGGCAAGTATTAGCACAGCTGGCAAAGGCTTTCAGCTAGGAAAAAATTATTCTAGTGGTGAAGACATTCAGTAGGGTGCAGATGATGCACAAAAGCACATCAGATGGGGGGCTGTGTGACTGGAGGGCTGCTGAGAAGCCGCTGCAGCATTTGTGAAGGATTTTAGGTGGTTATACCAAAATGCTTTAGCAATTGCTCTTACAAAACTATTTCTTTTTCTCTGTTTGCTGCATTGACTCTGGTTTTGCAGACAGACAGCTACAATGAAAACCTTTTGAAATGCCAGAGAGAGGGAGGAGGTGGACCTGGCACATAATGTGAAATGAGGAGACTGGGTTGGTAGGTCCTGATGGAGCACTTCAGCCCAGTGATGGATTTGGGAAGCAGCTTTTCTGAGCTGAATGCAAAAGTCATAATGGGAAAAGATGCCTGTTCTTACAAGGGATCCATTTAAAAAGCTTTTTTGAAAATCAGGTCATAAACAACTGAAAGAAAGAACTTCAAAATCTATATTGGTGAAGAAAAAGAAGGTAAGGAATGAACCTAACTTGGACAGATTTCCCCAGGGAAGCAGAAATAGGGGTCTTGTTAAAGCACCAGCTG